TCTACAGCAATCAACACTGTGATATTTATGGCTGTTTTCTTGCTGGACACTGCCCACTTGTCCACAGTGGGGTAGCAGCAGCCATTTCCCATCTGCATCAAAAAGGTGACGTAGTGAAGGATTTCGTGAGCTCATTGTTGATGTAATTTGCCTTTTTAGGATTTCTTCCTGAACCCAAATCCTCAGGAGCCTCTCTTCCTTATGCACCTTTGCCTGCCTACTTTGGTGGGAGCCCTCGGCCTCGGAGCCGTGTGTGTGTGCTTAGCAAACGAGGGCTCACAGATGCAATACCACAGGGAACAATGTGAACCAGGAATGTACTAAAGCCAGAGGCATTGTAACCTAGAGCCTAGCTGAACAATGTGGAAGAAATGCTGTCAAATCTGTGTCTGTGGGAGCTATTATATCCCCAGCTAGCCCCCTCCAAAAGTTTGCTCAGCATGCTGACTTTCCAGGAGCTTTCTTAGTGCTTGGAACAAGTTACCTATCTCCTGCCAGAATCGAGAGAGGAACACGACTGGCTGACGAATACCATATGTTCCAGGCTGGCCAAAGGAAACCTAATTGTATTTTGTTTAGCTTGCCTATTTAGCTGGGTTGCTGTAACAAGGCTGCGTAGGTTTTGTGTGTTGTCTGTGTGTCTTTCCAGAGAAATGGGACTGATCTCTTCTACATGGGAACTGTCGTGGGACAGGTCTGTGTTTCACCCTGGAAGTGCAGGGCACAACCTTCTGCCTCTTGCCCTGCCGTAGAAGAGATCCGGGGGGGAGCCAAGTGAAAGGGAGGCAGTTGCCAACAGGAGTGATCAGAAATTGCAGCGCTGAAATCTCATTCTAGGCGGGGAACATCCAGTTCTGAGAATGCAACAGAAACGCTTACGCTAACCAAAAGAATCCCCTCACCCCCCTTATTTTTATTTTACCGATTGCTAGTGCATCAGAAAAGTGTGCGTTTGGGAATGGGAGCACAAAACTGGATGCTGAATATCTAGATGTAGATTTGCTGCGTTTAAAATGGCTTGAAATTAGAGCTGCAGCAGGCTGCAGAAGTTAGAAACTGATCCGTGTCCTGAGGTCACCAGGGCAGAACAATGCACCCAGGGGACATAGATCTGAGTTTGCAGAAGTCGAGGTCAGACTGATCAGCTCCAGAGTTCAGTTCCTAGAGGCGCTGGATCCTGGATGGAGCTGGAAGAGGGCCTGTTTCCTCTCGTCCCCTCTGTTCCACTGTGCAACATCACATAGGGCTGGTCACCTCTCCCTGATGTGCTTTGTTGTCCCTAAAGAGCCAAAATACTTAGGTATTTGTATCGCCTACTTCTGCAGCATCTAGCCCAACAGTCCTCCACTTATGGGGACTGGGCATCGTGATGTTGCACACAACAGCTTTGGCTCACCTAAGGCACGAGCTCATCTTCTCTTTCAGGTTGTTGGAGCACATAGACCCATTCTCCCCAGTTTCCTGGGCAGCCTCAGCAGTGGGGTTAACAGTGGCCTGCTGTAAGTTTTGCATCGGCTAGGAAAGAGTTGTAAGTAGTAAGCGTATGCTGTCTTGGCAGGCGAGCAGAAAAGGGTGGGGGCCTTCATTTCTAGCTGAGCAGAAGAGGGGAACCAGAGCTAAAACGCAGCTGCCACTTTAAATGGCTCTCTTTCCTCACCGTCTCTTATTTATCTCATGCCTTCCTGTTTACAGCGTCATTTCCAGCAGCTCCCATTCTGCTCATGTGGAGGTCAGGTCAACAGGAGGCCTACCCCGTTTCTGAACACCAGGTCAGTGCAAGTGTCTCCACCAGATGCCACCCAGGAGAAACAGGCTGTGGGCCGCTGCTCCCTCCGGTCCCTTGGTGCTGTTGTGCCCAAGCAATGGGTGTGCTAGCTTTGATGGAAGCCAGAATTTGGCACGACCCTTGACTCGCTTCTCTAAGCAAGCCCCCTGCCCTGCCACGTCCTTTCACTCCTGCCATGCTTGTTTACCCGCGGGCTGCCTGCGCCCCGTTCTGCCATGTGCTGTGCTGCCCACACAAGCACACTCAGCTGCGTGCTCAGCGACCCACCTATCGAGATACTCATGCAGCTGAATCACCCTTCGGTGTACACTCATAGCCACGCTCACAGATGGACTCTGATCCTCGTGAGCCAGCCTGAAGTTCTCTTCCAATCTGCCATCCCTGTGTCCTCAAGGCAGGGGGAGGCTCTTCCCTCCTGGATGAAACATAGGCCCTCGCAGCGCGTTTGATCAACCACAACCTAGCCTTGTGTTAGTTCAGGGCTATGGGGAGAAGAGGATGATGCCTGCAGCCCTGTGGTGAGAACTGGTGAATGTTGCCACCTCGTATCTCCAGCCCACATGTGCTCCAAGGTCTGCTATGGAAGGATGCTGGCATGCTGAATGCATTTGCCTCCTTTTGGTGGGGTGAAAGACTTTCTCAACGTCATTTTATGGATGTTCCCAGTGCCCTTCCATGGCCCGTCCTTGCCTGACTCTCATCCTAATGTTTGGGACGGCCACCCTAAGAAATTTTGAGGCTGAGCCCTTGTTGGAGGCCATCTGTCCCACAAATGCGTGTAGGCCTACGCACAGTCCTGCTGATGCTATGATGTGCGCATGTTGGATAAAACGATCCCTGAAATCAAAAACATCTTCAAAACAAAAAAGCCCGAGCATCTCCCGTGACTGCCCCATTCAGTCCGCAGCACTTCAGCTCCCCTCCCTCCGTCACTCCGATTCCTCTACCCACGTTGGACCATTTAAGCATTAATGAAGGCCAGATGCATGTTCTGCAAATGCAGGATCGCTGCATTTTGTAGTAGGCTCTGGCTTGGTGCCTCCTTGTCCTTCGAATCCTCAGTACAGCTAATAACAACCAGAGGCAGCCCTCCTCGGTCTGAGGTAGAGCCCACCTCAGCGGTGACGTCTCTGCGACCGCAAAGGATTTCTCGGGGACCTGGAGGGCGACCAGCTTTCGGCTGTCGAGCCCCAGGATCTGGTTTCGTCTCTCACCAGCATTGGCGGGGATGAGCTCGGCATGACTGAGCTGTCCAACAGGGAGGCGGTGAGCTAGGCCAGCGCTAGATTTCTAAGGGAGAAGGAAGGAATTCGGTGTATTTTGGTGCCTGGAAAAATAAGGGATGGATCGTACTAGCAGGAGCTGTCCATGCGGAGAGATAAGAGGAGTGCTGGATAACTACTGTAGCTCGAGGTCTCATCAGCAGCTAACCTGCAGGGCAAGGATGGCTGGAGGTGAGATTGTGCCTTGCTTTTGTGCCATCGTCACAGCATCTTGTGCTTCCTTGCACAGAGCTGTGCTTCTTGGCCATCCCTGCTGCAGCCAGCAGGTCATTGCAGGGCTCTTTGGCTGTCTTCTTGCAGACAAGCGACGTGTGCCGGGGCTTCTCAAGCTCCACGTGGATGTGTGTGTGTAGGGATAGAAAGGGACCACAGCAACCTGCCAAACCAATTGCTGCTGTTTCTTGGAGTGAGAGAGCCCACAAATCAAGTTTTTAGGCCGAAAACTCAATTTGATTCCTCTGGGAAGCAGCATGGGGTTTTGCACATGGTGACTGTTTGCCACAGAGCGTTGTCCCTTTACGGAAAGCTGGGACTGGTCTGGGAGCTGGTGGGCATACATAACCTGCAGCAAGGTGTCGTGTGTTGCTCCTCACCACTCTGCCACGGGCACGTAGGAAGGGCTGGGCTGTGACTGTCATGTTCCTGACCCTAATTTGAGTTTGCAGTCATTTCTGGGGAGGCCCTGTAGTTCCCTGTGGGGGTTCATGGTGGATATTTCCATCACCCGTCGGTCTCTGGCATTCTGGGTCTCACGCAGCTCCCTAGCAGTGGGTGGGATTTCTGCAAAAAAAGACCCCCTCACCCCCAAACAGGCCCAGACTGCTCAGATGTTCAGCACAGAACCTTCTCTCTTCTCCCCTTCTCTCCCCATCTCCTTCAAGCATACCTGTGGGCAGAGGTGGTGTTATTGGAGCAGCCTATTTGACTGCTATAATATTTTCCACTCGGATCCATTGACTTCTATTTCATGTTTTTGTTGGATCGACACCTTTTGAGAGCAGTTAAAGCTGCTTGTATTTGAATACTTGGCGACAGTGTGTCACTCTGCTATCTTTTCTTGGTTTCACCTCTAGAAGGCAGCGATGATATGTCTATATGCAGTCACCCAAACCAAGTGTGTGTCTCTGTGCCCCCCTCGGTGGCTTTCCTTTACCAGTAAGTCTCTGTATACTGCCAGATGCACCCTAAAGCAACATAGCATGATTTTATAATGTGTTTAGGGCACATGCATAAAGGAGGTAGGGATTGCCATTTGTTAAGCCCTGCTCTCTTCTAAGGGAGAAGAGGTTTTGCTGCTATGATTACAGAAGCAAAGTAAGGTCTTTGTTCTAAATGTGTTTCTTTTTTCCTTATCTGTGATGGCCTGGCATAAAATAAAATGAAAAAAAAAAAAAAAAAAAAGAAGTCAAAAGAGCTCCTGTGCATGGCTGAGAGCTAATCTTCCTGACACTTCCTGCTCAACCCACTCACTGTCTTGTTTTGAACCCCCAAAAGTGGCACCAAGCCTGCGGTCCTTCCCTGCCAGGGTCTCTGGTTTGGTCAGGGGGACATTCAGCTCCTGTGGGTCTGCCCCCCAGACCTCTTGCCCCATATCCATCACCCTCTAGCTGAGGAAAAAGCAACCTGGGGGCAAACTAGAACTGCCTGACCAGTAGCAAACTAACAGAAAGGATAAATGTAGGACTTGTGATGCAGCTTTTCTCATTAAGATCATTACTTATGTTTTGTTTTTTTTATTTCCCTTTTTTCCCCCTCTCTGTTGAACCATTGGTTTTCATGAAACTTCCAGGACTGAAGAATGTTAAAAGCAATTGACAGATACATAGGGTTACACCCTCTGCTGTATGGTAGGAAATCATTTCATTTGCCCAGAAATGGAGTCCCTATAGGAAGAGAAAAATAGCTACATGAGCTGAGGTGAGAAAAAGAAAATAAAACCAGATCCAGCGAGGTGGGAATTATCATTTCATGCTCACTGAACGTTGCCATCTCTTGTTGAATGTCATCGTGAAGCTTGTGATGTTTGTGGATTTTATTTGAGACTTGTGGTCTTTATTTGAGCTCCTGGAATCAAGAGGCTGAATGAGATTCTCAGCTTTCTATTTATTTTTATTTTTTTTAGACTAGCATTTCCAGCTCTCTTGATCCTGGAAGAAAACAACTTCACTTGAAAATATGAAGCCTCGAGGGTCCAAATGAGAAAACAGATGAAAAATACTCCAAATACTTTTGGGTTGGTTAAGTCTTATTATTTTGAAGGCTATATCATTCTGTTCTAAGGCCACACACAACATTTTTGAAAGATTAAAACTGGCAACACTCATGCTTTTTATCCAAGGGGTTTTACAGAGTGCGTGAATTTTAGTGGCTATTGTGAATGTGGGCATGGGGGGGTGATATTGCAAGCAGCCCCTTGCAGGCCTGTGGACTTCTTGGGCAAGGCTCAACACAGCCCCTGCCTCGCAGAGTTCATGAACCAGGCATGATAGCAGTCTGCAGCGCTGCTTTCCCCTCTTCTGTTTTCTGTTATCCATCTATAAGGAAGGGAAGGAGTGAATTGCCTGTGAAGTGCGGGAGAGAGGCAGGAATTTAAATCCAATTTGCTGCAGCTCTTCCCGTCACCCACCTACAGAGCAGCACCGTGGCGGTGGGAGAAGCAGCGAGGCGTTTCACGACATGAAGGTGCCCTGCCCGTGGGACAGCGAGCCCAGATGGGTGTCCTGTGGGGTAGGGCAAGGGTGAGAGGAGCTCCTGCAAACAGAAAAACAGGGGCTAGGCAACGCCAGTCACAGACACTCCCCCTGACCATGGTGGTTGCTGTTGTTGTTGTTGCTGCATTTAAAACAATATGCAAGGAACCATCCAATATCCTAGGGCTTTTGTTTATCTAGATTTTTACGAGGAAAAAAAAAAAAGAGAGAGAGAGAAAAAGAAATGAGAGGGGAAACACAAGCATTCCTTCCAACCAGAAAGTCATGAGTTTTGATTCAGTCTAATTACACAAGTGATATTTTTATAACCTCTGTGAAGTCTCCTCGCCTTCTTGGTGTGTCTCCATTGTTTATGTGAGAGTGGCCAGGTAGCCAAGGCAAAGCAACGTTGCGAGAAAATATCCCTTTGGCCTTGGAATACGCTGCATTCTCTTTTTGGCTTCATAAACAAGCCTGTTTTCCTGCTTTCATACCTCTCAGGTTCTTTTTTTTTTGTTGCTCCTGCCTATAAAGCAGAGTTACTCACACTGTGCCCAGCTCTGGGCCCTGCTGGCAGCTCGGTGGCATCCCTTAGGCATGCATGAAATAATGGCTCCAGGTCTCCAGTGTATGAAATCACCACTGCTCCTCCCTTTTGGTTTGCAACGAAGAAGTGTGACCTGTGGGGTAAGGGGTGCCCAGCCTTGGTTGTGGCCAGAGCACGCACAGCTGTGTGTAATGGGGTAACTAACGGGCAGGGGTGTCTCTAGGAAGGGAACACCCAATTTCCTCGTTGGTTTTACAGTATTAGGAAGGATCCCTCTGTAGCTTCAGCTGGCAAAGTGTTCTGCAATTGCTGGGCCCTGCTTGGCCTTGGATGAACACAGGCAGTGCTCAGCATGCTTGCAGACTGGCCTCCTTGCAGTTGTCACAGGTGACAGCTGGCCTTCACCTCCCTCTCCTTGTACTGCTATCCTCTCTCTGCCTCTCCATCTACCTTTGCAGAGTGCAAGGTATTTGAGAGAGGCTTCAAGAACTGGCCTTGACTTTGCTTGCTCACTTACTAATACAATGCCAATAGCTATCGCAGATGCTTGTTGCCTCATGCTTGTTGCTCTTGAGCTATCTCCTGTTGCATTGTTAAAACAAGAACTCACTCAGAGATGCATTGCCCTTTGGTTAGTCCCTTCCTCAAGTATTTTGAGCACCACAGTCACTTCAAAAAAGGGATGCTCCTCGGACCTCCCTGTCCAAGTAACCACCAGGACCTCCCTGTCCAGGTAACCACTGCACTGATGAGAAATTTGGAGAGCCCCAGGGATAAATTGGAATCCTGTGAATGGGTCTGACTGGTTGCTTGGGGTAGCAGCAGCTCGTCAGCAAGCCTCTCTGCCCCTTCCAGCCTTGGGAAAAATGAGCCGAGCTCCCAGCTGGTGAGCGATTAGCGCCGGGCTCTTGCACGGCGGCCGTCAGCTCCAGTCTGACACTTGTGTGCTCTTCCCACATCGACTGATGTCACTCCGTGTTTATGGTGAGCTGTCATCCATACATCGCATGTTTGGAACAAGCAGTCCTAACTCTCCTCCTGGGTGGTGGTTTGGATGATGTGGAAATAAGTGGATGTTCTCCAAGTGTGATTTTGTCAGGGGACTGCCTGGGGAATGACCCAAAGCTTTTAGCAGAGCCACGGGGAGCGGTGAAGGGTAGGCTCAGGAAAGAGAAAAACACAGAGAAGAGAGGAGAAAATAGATTGGTAAAGCTTCAAAGATGGCACGTGGGTTCCTGGGCTTGGACGTGGAACTGAGGGCGCATATGAAGGTAGGCAAAGACTCACTCAGGAATGTGGGAGACGCAGGCCGTTCACCTGGGAGGAGTGCACACCTTGAGGAGTCCACCAACAGGAAGATTCAAGAGAGGCCATGGTGGGAAGAGGTGGAAAGCTGGTATGAGTCAGGGGTGAGGAGAGCCAAATTCGGCACTGCTTTTAAGCAGAGGAAACTCCGCTGACATCTTATAGCTTCAGGCAAGTACCAGCAAAAACATCTGGGCTGGATCTTGATCAGTATAAATCTGCTTGGGGGCCACTGGCTTCAGCAGTGCCACACCGATTTACGCATGTGAAAGGTTCAGCCCTCTGCTCGCTTCCCTGCTTTCAGCCCTGCCTGCTTTTGGGGTCCCGTGGAGCACTCTGGCTGAATTTGTGGGGGTCAAGGCAGAGGGTTTCCTGGTAAATGAGAAAAACACTGTCCTTCCATCCCGCTTCATCTGCCTGGGATTTCCGACTGAAAGGCACTGACTAATTCCATCTGGCAGGCTGACCACGCTTCAAAGGCTGCAAATCCTGAGACTTTTAACTTACAAACAAAACCATGCATTAGAAAAAAAAAAAAAAGAGAGAGAGAGAGAAAGAAAAAAAAAAAAAAAAAAAGAAAGACAGCTCTCCCGAGGGACAGTCTCTGTGAAATCCAAAACAAGGTCTCAGCGCCTGCCCTGGTGCTCCGGCTGACGCCAGTGTTTTTTCTGCCCCTTTTAAAAGCGAGCTGGAGCGTTCCCGACTCCTCCGTTCAACACCTCCGGCTCCCTTATTCCCCTCGGTGAGTGGGGCGGGGGGAGGAGGCTGGAAGGGAACGGCCAGAGCAGAGGAGGAAAGAAATGCCTGGTATTGATCCACCAGGGCTGGCCAGACTGCAAGAAATTCCGGTTCGTGAAAAATGTTGCGGTTGAGAACATTTGTTTTCGTTCCACGGTGGGATGAAACCAAGGCTTTCTGGAAGGGAGGGAGAGGAGGGGAGAAGGAGAAGAAAAATGACCCTTTTTTTTTGTTGTTGTTGTAGGGATGGGATGGCCTCGACAGCCTCCCTGTGGTACGGGTGCCCACAGCATGGGGCCGGGGTGCCAGCCCTCGGCCGTCAGCCTCCCGCGTGGAGGCCGTGCTCCTCCAGGTGGGCAGGGCAGAGGCTGGGGTGAAACCCCATAAGGATAAGGAGAGAGCCCTCCTTCCATCTTCATCTCGTCATACACTCCTGGCAGGGCAGAACCTGCAGGGGAGGTGGCGAGGGTCCCCTGCCTTCAGCACTGCAAAGGAGGGAGGCCTTGACCCTGGGTTTGCACAAAGGGGAGTCTGGAGTGATTACAAAAAAATAATGGACTTAGATGTTGCTCTTCCCTTCAAAAATGAGCTCGCTGTCTTTTTGCACAGCCCCTCCGGTCATGGGTAATGGGAATTCCTTGCAGGAAAGAGTAGGAGGAGGTGAAAACCAGAGCAGGACCGGGCCTGGAAGGCTTGAAGGCGTCAAAGAGTAGGACACAGATGTAGCAGACAGCTCTTATGCCTTCCAGGCAACTCCTGCAGCAGGGTGAAGGAAGATGTGGGTGATTAAACACCGTCTTTGAGCACGGTAGTGTGATCTAGCCCTTGTGCATCTCTCCCAAAGTCAGGGAGCGAATCCCATGGGGAAGGGGATGGGGCAGTCCTGCCTCCCACCTCCTGCCTGGCCCCTTGGCAGCTCTACCCCCCTCTGCCCTCAGGAGCTGCCTCGTTTGTTTTCCAGGAGGTAAAAATCCCTTCTGGACGTCAGCAAGTGAACTATGCAGGGGAAAATAGAGGGGGGAAAATAAAAAAAAAAAAAAAAAAGTGTGTGCCGTGAGTCAGAGGGCTCCTCCGGGGGGCTGTGGGATTGCGGGGAGAGGTGGAGGAGCGTGGCTGCCATAGGCAGGCCTATGTACCGCTAAGCCACAGGCATGAGGTTTTGGAGCTCGCAGGCCTAGGAGCACAATGGGACCTTCATCAGCTCTTTCCAGGGCAGGAGGGCTTGCAATAAAACCTGAAGTGTCTGGTATTTTGATTGTCAAAGGCCACATCTTCCAAAAGGGGAACGCCTTGGAGCAGCTGAGGAAGGTAGAGCCGAGGCTGCCGCGTGGAGGCTGCTAACAAAACAGGCCTCTTTCTCCAAAGGGGATTTCCTGGCAACAGCTGCAGCCTATATCCAAAGCTTTTTCATAAAAGAAGAGGCCAGGGTTGCCTGGTCTCTTTAGCTTCCCCTGGTATGGCACTGGGGGGTATCCCTTCTTACCGAGGATTTCCTACCAAATGGGGCCAACCATGGCTTCTGCATGGGGTAAGCAGGCTGGAGCAGCTCTTGGGCAGCTCCTCCTGAAGATCTGGGCTGTCTCAGCTTAGCGAGGTGTCCATAACGCCAGCTGGTGTGGTTTGGGAGCATCTGGAAGCGTACAGCATGTTGGGAGCTTCCCAGGTTATGCACAGCTTCTTGTGCTCCGTATCCTGCTGGTAGCAGGTGGAAACTGATTGAGGACCCAGATGGGACTCACCACCACAGCTAGGTGTTTTCTGTGATGTCCCTGGCGCCACCTCTGCGTGTAAAATGGCACCAAATCAGGCTTCCTTGCTCTTCTTTTTTCACATTGCCTTCAGTAGTAGGTTCCCCCTGTCTCGTCCCTGTGGTGCAGATGATCCAAAGGGTTGGGGGATGTTGTTTCCGTGGTCTTATTGTTTTCCTACACAGTTCAAAGCTCACTCTTCTCCCCACACCCAACTCTGCAGATGCGCATCTCCGCAGGCTGCCCTGGAAGGAGTCGCTGTGATCTGTTTTAACCACTTGACAGCCCCCTCATTATTTATGGGAAAGCCAGGCCTGGAGCCTGCTGAATGTTACAGTGAGGGATACGTATCTGTGTGTCCTATACTGCTGGAAGGCTTGGTGGAGTTCCTGCGAAGCTCTTGGCTTCAGAAAGCCGCTTTTCAGGCACATTTTTCTTGTAACCCAATTCCAAGTTAGCTAGCGACTCCCTTCCTCCCTCACTCTTTCTCCTCAAGAGGGACGGTCATCTTGAGAAAGAAACACACTTGTCTCCTTGCCACATTCCCCTCTTAAAGGGAAAGGGAGGTGGCATACTGCACCTTGAAGAGCAAAAGCAGGTCAAGGCAAGGTGGAGTTGCCTCTTCGCATCCTGGCTGAGATGTAAATAGGATGGGTAACACTCGGGAAGTTGTTCAGCATTTCCTAAAACCCCCGTGTTCAGTTTCTTATGACTTTACCAGCCTCTAACCCTTCTTGGTGCTACGCATGTGAATTTTGGGGAGAATGGTGTTAGCTGAAACGGCTCAGCCATTCACAAGAAGGAAATAGGAGAAAATAGGTTTGTTTGGTTGTTTGTTTGTCTGAGATGAGCTTCCTCCATCCTCTGTGGAGAAAGATGGGAATGTTCAATCAGTTCATTCAAAATGTAGGTACCCAATGGAGGTGAAATGAATTGCACCCATGACAGAGTTTAGACAAGTTGGTTGAAGAGGACTCCTTATTTGTAGGGCTAAGGAAGAGCCTGCTGCTGTTCCTGTGAAGACACGGCTGTGTTCAGCCATGTTACATGTTTTAAAGGAAAAAAAAAAAAAAGATATCTTGGTTTGTTTGTGGTGCTGAGAGTTTGGTATATTCTCTGATGGGTCCATTCAAATTGTGATCATTGCAGTGCTTGTCCCAAAAGCAGGAGGGTGCATTTCATCCACGAACCTTCTTAACGATGCTCATGATCCTGCGAAGCCAGAGAGGAGGTTAAATGGCTGTCTGACCCTCCGCTGATCTTGGTGGCTCCAGTTTGGCTTGTGTCTAGGACGCAGAGAGGAGATACACAACCAGGTGGCTGGTGGGGCAAGAGACATCGGGCATCTCGGTTCAAAATTCAGGAAAGACCAAGCATGAGAGGACTGGAAGTCACTTATGGAGACAGCAGCACAGAAGGAAGCAGAACAAGGACAGGCTGTGGGAGACAGGCAGAAACCTTCAGGCTTGGATGGGGACCAGGGAAGAATGATCTGGGATGTCCTGTGGAAAAAACTGGCTGTGTCACAATGACCATGTTCAGGGGAAGCAGTTACTGCTGCGTGAATGACCTGGATTTTGGCACTGGCAGGGCTTCCAGCTCCTGGC